GTTCCAAAACTCTTTTCAGGTATCTTTGGGAAAAGCTTAACAAAATAGATAGAAAATCAGATTTCAGCTCAGAGTCAAACCGTCAGAAGATCACCCCCGATTGAAGGCTTTCTCACCGTCTGATCCAGCTCAAATTTGGAGATCTTAAAGATGGAAGTATCAGCTTTCCAGCACACTTTACAGCTTGGCAATCCAACGGTTCAATCAAAAGATACACGAAGAGCAAGATGTCTCGTAAACCAGCCGGCAAGCGTTTCCACCCGCGGCCAACAAGCCATTCTCCGTGGTCACAACCACCGTGACCGCAGCCAGCCACCCATTCCCCGCGGTCACGCACATCCCGACCGCGGCTAGCTAACTCCGACTTTGAAGGCCCATTTCTGAAGCCCGTATCATTTTCACAGCCTCAATTCCGGAACCCTAGACACCAGAGAGTATTGGAGACTATAAATACATGTCATTTAGGTCGTTTTTAAGAAGAGAAGAAGAGAGATGAAATATTTTACAGAAATTTTACTTTAAGCTTTGTTTTTAGGTTTTAGGGAGAGAGAGATCTGTCTCTTGAACCCTTGTTCTTTCTTTTTCAATTTCGGTTTCTATTCTACTTTTTAATACTATGTTTTTGATTTCGTTTATTATGTCTGAGTAATTTTATTGTTGGGTCTAAGGGATTTTCGATGAGGATTTATATGCTCGGTGAGGATTCCATGAGCTTTTGAGCCGAATCTTAGAACTTTTTCTTCTGAATTTGTTTTTATTGCATGAGAGTAGCGTCATGAACTACAATCTGATCCAGATGCTTGGTGACACGAAAGAGTTCATCCGGTGTCAGATCTAGTTTGGGAGAGCAAAACAAACATAGGAGTGAAAACCTACCTATGGGCGATTTGTGAATGCTGACGAGTCTTAAACATAATGCATCTCTTCTTTTCCAGGGCCAGAGTGGAAACCTACTAGTCAGGGTTGAGAGAGATAGTTGTCTATGATCACGACAGTGGCGTATTCATACGTCCGTGACTCCAGTTCGAAAAGTTTAAGCTAAGATCTTATCAAATTTACTCTCTAGCAATGTTTTGAATCGTTCATACCCCTTAGAAAACTTCCCTGAACCCCAGCGCCTCTTTTCTTATAGATTTACACCGATTTTCATTCAAAATTTAGTCTAGTTTATTTACTCTTTCAATCGATTTTCATTCAAGCAATTAGGTTAGCCGTTTTCCCGTTTTAACCCGTTTTCGTTAAATTTAGTTATTAGGTCATTTTAATTCCCGTAGTTTCTCTTTAAAATTCGTTTTTACGTTTTAAACACACCACCAAAACCCTCACAAAAAAAGTCTGGTTCTAGACTTCCTTACTTCATATTTCTTTCGAAGGCTTTTGCAGGAAAGATCCTCCTTCCCTGTGGATTTGATCCCTAAGTACTACAATCGATCAGTTGTGCACTTGCGGTTATTGATTTCATTTTGGGTAAAACTTGACACCCTCACTACACACCACATCAGTTGACCCCACATGCCTGTTATGCGGTATTGGAAATGAATCAAGAGATCATCTGTTTTTTGAATGCACATACTCTCGTGTAATATGGTTACGGGTTTCTGGATTTCTAAGGCTATCTTCTCAGCCCCTATTGTGGAATGATGTTCTATCTTGGCTCCCCCATGCTTCTAACAACTCGAGTATTTCTCTTGCGCTTCTCCAAGCTTGGCAAGGGTGTATTTATGCTATTTGGACCGAGAGAAATAGAAGATCTCATCAGGGAACAACTCTCTCCCCAGAAGTCGTGGCCAAATCCCTTCTCGCCTCTCTGAAGAACAAAAGCATTGCGCTGCAACAGATGGGCTCTTTTCATGGCCTCTCCCTCTTTGATCTTTGGTCTCTCACATGAGTCCTGCCTATGTGAACATGGTACTAGATGATCCTTCTCTATTACCCTCTCAATCCGGTGTTGGATTGCTTTCCTTCTTCCTAATGTAATCTCCCCTTTTTTTATGCTATGTAAACTTTTTTTTTCAATATATTTAAGCAAACCTTTTAACAAAAAAAAAAAGTTATATAGATATAATGTAATAATAAATGTGCTTCTATAAAACGTGCAGGTTTTGGTCAATAAATATAATAAACATCAGAGCAATTTCAAGGAAGTAATAAATCCAAAAATTATGTGAATGATGTGTTTTTTTTTTAATGTGTTATCAGTTATAATATAGCTCATGGTAAACATCTACAGTAAAACTTCTATAAATTAATAATATCGGGACTACAATATTTTATTAATTTATCGAGTTATTAATTAATCGATATAAAAATTAGTCTAAAAAACTAATTTGGGATTTAAGAAATATATTAATTTATCGAGGTATTAATTTATCGAATATTAATTTATAGAGGTTATACTGTATATGAAACTGTTACTAACATATTGGCAAACATTGTGAACAAAGATGCATTAATTAGATATACTCAACAAAGTTTCCAAAGCTTATGATCTCATTAAAACAGTTGATGAGCAGAGATCCTAAATTATGGTAATGTCACTTTTCTTTTTGTTTAATGATTTAACTAAACTCAAAATGTCCTTTCATCTAATCTCCATAATTGATTATGCGAGTTAATTTTCGACAAAGCATTGACTGTCATTGTTTCTGGGTGGATGTCCTGTGGCTTTCCACGAACCGATTTAAAGAGGATCGGCTAGTTGATACGATGAATCAATGATTTTTTATTTATTTAAAAAACAGTGAATTTGGTTTGCAACATTCTACCTAATTTTCTTATACCAGTAGAAGTGTCATTTTAGAAATAATAAATATCTTATATGAAAGTATAATGATATACAACAATCAGACGAAGTAACAATGCAATAGATAATATGCTCTTCACATAGTTACATATAGAACCACTATAAAACCATTATAAAACCACTATATACAATAAAAAATAAATTAATAATGTTGAAATTTTGATATTTTATTAATTTATAGAGTTATTCATTTATAGATTTCTAATAAAAAATATTTTTTATTTTTTAATAATTTTAAAAGAGATTTTTTAATGATTTTACTCTTTGAAACATTAATTCTAAAATTAAAGATGAGTTACAAGAAATTTTAAATTTAAAATAAATAAATTTTTTTACTAAACTCATATTTTAGTAGATTATCTCACTTATATATTTATATTAAATTTTATTTATGATAATTATTAATTTATAATATTAATGGGACTATATATTTTCATATGAGTTTTATTAAAATTATTATTTTATTATCTTATCGATTTGTATTAAATTTTGTACCGGTCTAATTTGAAACCGGAAAATTTTATTAATTTATAGAGTTTATTAATTTATCGAATATTAATTTATAGAGTTTCTACTGTACATATTAATCATATGGATTTTTACTGACTTTGTAATTTGAACTTGTGCATTATCATTAGTTGTTGTATAACTATGTAATTCATAACTACTGGATATTTAGACTTTTTTCGGTCGGAGATGCTAACGATAGCGACTAAATTATGTTTATTTTGTAGTTGTTAAATCAACGATTATGAAACGAATAAGATCTGAACACATCTTTCTTTGTTTCACAGTTTGAAATTTGAATATTATCACTTCAAATACTTTTTATTTATTAAAAATAATAATTAAAAGGAAAACGTAATCTTTCTCCTTTCCTCTGCGTCGGAGGTCTTCTCTCGTTACCGGCGCTCTTCGCCAAGCCGTGAGAAGGCCTTCCCTGGTCTCTTAGTTGCTGCTTGCTATTCATCAACGGAAGAAAACTGCAGCGGTGAAGTGGATGTGTCTTCTGTTCTTCTCCGCGGCGCTGTGGTGAGGACTCCAGTATGGCGAGTTGTTGCGGAAGCTCCAAGGCCTTGGCTTTGAATAATCAGTGGTCTTCGGTAGGTTTTCGTTTCTGCGACTTGTCGTTTCTGGTGGTGGTGGTATAGATAGGTTTACATCGACGGTTTCTTGTGCGAAGTGGTTGTATGAGCTGGGTGTAGATCTGTTTTGCCTCTGCTTCTCTGGTTTGGGCTGCTAGCTTGGCTCCGTGTGTTTCTTAGCCATGTTTTGCCCTTTCTTTTGTGCTATGGTTTGCGTTGAGGTTTAATCTTGGGGTTTGTCTTTTGGTTAGTAGCTCGTTGTAGACGCATCTACTAGCTCGGCTCTGGCTTGTTTGGAGTTTGGATTTGGGTTTAAGGCGTTACAGTGGGTTGGTCTTCAGTTTTGCTCTGGCGGAATGCCGCTTGCCATTCCTTGCTATATATCTGTAAGTGGATATAGCTTGTACGCTTTTGATCTTCTTTGATGAATCCCCAATCGAAGTTCAAGGTTTATATCCTTGAGACTCGGTCATCTCAAGTTCGTTTGGCCTTTTGGAGTGGCAATGATGGTTTTAGCTTCTGGTCTCTGGTCTTTTTTGGTCCTGCTTTCGTCATCGATGGTCGCTGTTGGAATAGCTCTTCTCAAGGCTCTGGTTCTTTGGTGCAACTCTGGTGTCTACAGGTTGGGTATTCGATCTCGGGACTATTCTTGCTCGGAGTTTCAGTTTTAGTGTTATGGAGTTTTTGTTTTCAATTCTCTTATACCGTTTTCGTTGATTTTACAATCTCTCTTTTTGTATGGGGCTTTGATTCCCATGTATAGGTTTTTTTGTCTCCGAAGATATTTTCGTTTTCTGTCGACTTATGTATTCTTTTTGGCTTAATAAAAAAAGTCAGTGAAAAAAAAAACGAATAAAATTATTGTATTACTACCGCTAATCAGTCGAAACCACAACACAAATGTTTATTTCCTCGAAAGACGAAACCATGTTTGTCAAATATCAAACGAACTTGGCCCCAAAAGTTTTTGAGATCAACAACTTTGTCTCACCGTTTTTCGTGGGCCTTTAACCCAATTCGTAATCTTGCCTTACATATTTTAAATTCTTCTTTGTTTCTCTCTCGTTTTCACTTTATTTTTCGTTTCAAAATCACATCACACGGGTTTCTTCTCGTTCATTGCAGTGAAACCTAAATAACCGTAGATTTGGTTAACCGGAAGTTTAGTAAAACTAAACTAATGAACACATCAACACACTAGTTTTGATCGAAATTACATAAATGCCCCTGAACTACATACGAAGGAACTCGGTGCTCACAATGGACAAAACAAAGACAACCAAACTGTTTGTCGATTCCCTTTTTCCCTCCGGCCACCGGAATATTCCTGCTCCGACTTAAATCAATCCTTCTTCTGTCAAATGACGAACAAAGATTAAACAACAAAAAAAAAAAATCTCTCTTTTTTAATGGAACATTTAGCTGAATAAGATATAATGATAACTTACTTAGTTCATCGAAAGAGATTTTGCTAATGCTTTCCCCGTATTTGATCAACCGAATCTTCCCTACAAAAAAACACAAAAGTATCGTATGTCAGCAAGAAACCAGTGATAAAACCGATGATCAGGATCAACAACATGAACATACATACCATCACGGCGAATGCAAATCTCAGGGATACTCTTGACTTCACTACTGATGCTATCATTATACACTCTAGTCTCAATATCACCTTCCACATACACTGATGAGCTGTAACAAAGCACCAGTAACAAAGTTTAGATATAAAAACCAACACCTTCACCTCCAATTCATTAACTTGACACCATAATGAATCGAGCAAATAGAGAAGAAACAGATAAAAGACATGGCAAGAGATTTGTGAACTCAGAGTTGATATGTACAATTTTACATCTTAAATGACCTGGGGTTAGAACTGATAACAATTGTTTAACACAATTCATTGCTTGGTTTATGATAGTTTAACCATGTAGTAAAAGCTTACTTTTTAGCGAGTTTTTGGACAGCGTAAGAGCCAAGCACCGCATTGTGCACGGCGATTCTATGCCACTGAGCTGGTTTTGGCTGATTTGTTGCTCCCATAAGCCTCTGGTCAAACATGCCTCCTGTTCCTACCGTGAAGATCGTCACTGTTCTCCCGCTCCTTAAGATCTTCTGTAACGGTGCTTGCCCTACTTTACCACAAATTATCGCCTGTCCGAAACAGAGAAGATGAAAATGTGAACACAAGTAGATGAAGAAATGATGTTGCAACAAGGTCATGAATTATGATTCGATCATCGGTTTACACTAGTTCAGGGCATGATTTAGGACTGAACAAATGGGTTAATGGAAACAAGCAATTGAACAGTTGGATAAGCCTAATTTGATTCTAATGTTCTTCAAGCTAAACAATTGTTAACAATAAGTATAAGAGATGAGTCATTTTTACCCTATGGACACCGCGAAATCCCCAACCTTTACGGGGATCAACACCATGAGGCTGAAGCTCAGGTCTCTCTGAGATGTTTTCTTCGAAATCTTCTTCCACACCTTCATCGATCGGACCAGTAGAGAACCACAATCTTGAGCCTTTCTCAGCACTTACTGCTACACTCACATAACACACAAGAAGAAAACAGATGATAAATCAAACACATTTCCAAGAAATTAAGGGTTTAGCAATTAAAAAAAGAAGCAGACATCTGAGTGGTAATGGAAAGAAGACGTAGAGAGAGAGAGATACCCAGAGGAGATATCGGAGAGAATCTGAGAAGCTTAGAGACTCGAACGGAGAGTGAGTTCATCTTTAATCAAAAACTGGTTCTGAGGATGTGATGTCTGCAAAAATGCACTGATCCCTCGAAATTAGGGTTTGCAGATCGCAGCGATTCAACAATTAGATCCAGACTAATTACGATTAAATCTTTGAAACGAAACCAAAGCAGGATTTGGTGTAAGAGGAAAATGGAATAAGCTTACCAATGAGTTTTCAGAAAAAGAGAGAGAGAGCAAGGATGAACAAACAAAAGGACGTTGAAGAGTCTTTTCCTTTAAACCCTGCGTGAAGCTTTTTAGGGTTTTGAATAAGGGAAGAAGACAAAAAATGATGTGAACGGGAAATGTTCCGAGGAAGAGGACGACGGAAACCTTATGTTTCCCAAATTACCCTTCTCTGTAGTTCCAAATTTATTCTTCTATGTATCGAAGAAATTAATTTTCGAAATTCACTTATCAAAGCCAAATTCACAAAAATTGCTATACTGTAGTTAGCAATGAAAATCGCATTATGTATTGAGAAATACATTTCATCAAATTATATCAGCGATATTTTTTTAGTCAATTACAGGTAGTAAACAAACCATTATATTTATTTAAACAGTTCAATTATGTTGGAAACGACGAGGAAACTCACATAATAATGAATAATGCAACTAGAGAGCATTGCGAATCTACAAAGCTGAGACATTAAATCAAAAGATTTTAACTTTACACATAATGGGCTATAAAACTAACAACTAATCTTTGGTTCCTCTTTACATTTGTTTATTTGGTTCGTCTATAGAGAGGGAAAGAGACTCTTTGAGGAATTTGTCTTTGGAGTTTGTAGTTCCTGAGATGATTGTGTCATTTCTGCATCATCCTCTGTTTCCTCAGGTTCTGTTGAAGCTGTCTTCTTTGGAATAACGAGCTGGTAGTTTGGGCTAAGCAATATGTCATGTCCTGCAATCGATTTTGGCAAATGAATCTTGTTCCTGCTTGCAGAAAGTTGTAGAAGTACCTAATAACAAAAAAAAAAAAAAGCTCAGAAACCAACGACTTGGATTGGGTAGACTTTGACACGATCATCTTCTTGGTAAATGAATTTCTATGGTCACAAGGATATTGCTCACAATAAAACCAAAAAAAAGGATATTGCTCACTACTCAAAATCACGATGGATAATTCTCTAATCATTCACATAGCAATTACCAAGTTACTAATCATATCACATCTATTTGCAGACAATACAACCTAAATAACAAGAAACCGAAAATGAGAAATTGACAACAATGGATATATATACCTCTCTATGAGGTGGTTGTGAGAAGCTGAAATTAACTTTGGATTGAATAGCGAGCTTCACATCGTCACAGTCAATGGTAGATTTGCTAGCATGATCTGAGTAAACCTGAGCATCAGTCAACACATCGACCACATACTTGTTATCATAATTCGAGAAACTGGTGCATCACACGGGGCTCGTAGTTCTCCACACCCATGGACTTAAGCAGAGATTTTACAATCTTGACATCTCTCGGTACACCTCCTTTACCTTCTCCAGCCATGTTTTCACTACACAGAATGAGAAACAAAAACAAATCACTGGTTAGGCTACATAGTAACTTTTGACAAACAAATAAACATCTTTCTTTACATAGATTTAAGATGTTGCACAAGCTTGGATCTAATCTCACAAGCAGAAACATCATAAAACAGTTGCAAAAGAACAAAACTAGATTCAGGTGCTTTAATTCCTAAACATAGAACCCGAATAGATAACCACAGAAAGTGGTAAAGAAAAATTATGCATTCTAAAAGTCACGGAGAAAGCATTTGAAGCTTCTATATCATAAGGGCAAAGGTTAGAGCTTAGTGAATCCGAGAAAACGAAGACGGATACAAAAGAGGCAAAATAAAGATTTAACCTGGCCGAAATAATTTCATCAATATGTTCCAAACACACAAGATTCTATGCCCCAGATCAAACAAAAATCAAAAATATCTTTAGCAAACCATAGTAAGGCTAAAAAATGTCAATTCCGTGACTAGTCTTTACAAATCGATTGTGAAGAATTTGACATTTTTACTATGTACGAAAGTAATTGTTCATCTTGATTTTGACTTGTTAACAATAACGCCTTTGCTACATGTATATTATGAAACTACATTGAGTTTTCGAATTTCTTAGGATCTGACAACGTAAACTCTTATGCTAGTAGCAGCCTCTTCACCTATGGAGATAACTTGATCGAACTTAACCATTACTAATGAAGCTAAAATAAGGACACTGAGTCTACGAGAATTATCATTTCAGGTGTAATTCCTAAAGCAGCATTTAGCATCTCTAAGAGTCTAGAGACAGAGGACGATATCATTATAAGCAGAAACTGGCAAGCAACAATGAAGGAAGGAGAAGAGAAGAGGATACTCACAAAGCCGCAGCCTTTGAATCGGCAATGACGACAGCTTCAAGGATTTCACCGTACTACGAAGGTTACTTCATCGTCTGCGAAAGACACTGCCACTACAACAGCCTGCGAGAGAAAGATAGGTAGGTTTGACTGAAGTGAGCCCAAATGTCATCACGATAGGCCTTTAAATCTGGGTAGAATAACAATGGGGAAACTCTTATCAATATTATTATCTCACGACCAACAACAATGGAACTGAACTGAGGATCTAAGATCAGTTTTTCTTGAAAATTGACCTATTTTTTTATGACTTAGTGTTGTGGTGGCTGAAACCAGCTAGAATCCGATCAGCGACTAACTAGGGTCTTTCTTGCGAGTTATTAACAAGACATGAAGCCCAAATCTCATTAGCTGGCGGCGAAGGCTGCACCCAATTTCCAGGAATCCGGCTGTATAGAGAGAATCAAGACTTTTTCTTGTGAGACAATCATCAAAACCTTGTCTAGATTATGAGAATTATAGAAAATGCTAAACTTACCTTCCTCTGGTACTCAGATATGCATCCCATTCTCGTCTGATCTGTATATGTAAACCATAAATCAGCTGAATCACTTCAATAGATGATAAAAGAGATGGAGACTCAAATTAAACCCTACCTCAATAAGTCTACCCATTTCGAAATTGCTTCCGTAGTAGTAGTGATACATCTCGACCGGTAAACTGGACACATTGTCGCCAACATTGTAAGGAGCTTCCATTGTCTTTTCAGAAGAAGCTGCAACAGCATTGCTTTCTTTATCTGTGTCTTTATTGTTTTTGTTACCGGTGGTGAGAGTAATGTCCTCCTCGGAGGTTATGACATTCTCTTCGTTCTCTGTGTTGGTTAGAAACTGAGCTTGGGTTTCCTCTTGCTCCACCGCAGCACGAACACTCTCGAAGAACTTGTCATCTTCTTCCGGAAGAAAATGCCCTGCATAGTGTCCATATAACCCGTTTACTTTAGTCAGACTCTGGTTTTAGAAACCATTCTACTAACTTCAGATTATTGACATACCTTGCTTCTTCAGTTTTTCGATTCTTAGGGAACGTAACTCTTGCATTTCCTCAACAATTAGAGCTAGTTCAAGCTGAAAACATTGAAAGCCAAGAGATTGTTTGAGGTAAAAGAACCGATAAGAAAAACTCAACGATGATTATACAAAACTTTCTATGAAACCTATGATGTCTGAGATAGCTTTATAAGTCTCACCTCGGGTTCTAATCTCCTTCGCTCTCGTTTTGCCTTGATCTTCTCAATTGCCTTCATCTCGTCGACCTGAAAAATAGACAGACCCTTCAGATACCAAAACGAAAAACACATATCCTTATGGTAAATCCACACTGATATTACCTTTCTGTTTGCCATGTCCTTGGCCATTTCCTTTTCTCTCCATTCATCAGCCTCTTGATCAGCGTGTTCAAATCTTTCAGGCTCCTGAAACCAAAATCATCAGGATGATGATGGCGTCAATAACTCAAATACTGTGATACAAAGCTAAACAAAGAGCTTTCGAATCCAACCTTAGCACGCAGTTCTGCAACACGCCGTCTCTTTCGTTTCTTCCACAGTTTGTTCCTTTTCGATTTCTTCATTTTGCAAGTCAATCTGACTGCAGCAGATTTCTCCTCCCATGGACAGTTCTCGTTAACAACAAAACTAAAAGGCTCAAGCTGTGTTCTTAAGGTAGGCATCAAGGAGTTAGCAGCTTCCACTGAAAGTGTCTCCTGCTGTCCTAAATCCATTTCCATATCTTGTAGATATCTCAAACACTCTACTTGTTCCACAGTTTCCACTGAAATTTTGGCATCTTTGATCGTCCTCAATGCATCCAGTTCCTTCTCACTATGAATTTGTATTCGCGAATGTGTTTTAGCAGATCAAGATTGACTCTGATTCGATATTTGTAATTATCTACAAAAATCAAAAACTGCGACAAGAAAATAAAGTTTCGGGTTTCGTTTCTTACATTGATTTTGCAAGGTTAAACGTATCATGGAGTTGTTTTAGCTGATCGATTATGTTCTTTGCATTCCAAAACACACCGCAACGAGGCGGATCCGGAGGTAGCATCGGATCCCAGTGGAACGGAGGATTTGGAGCCTGAAAATTCGCCGGATTCATCTCGAAGACCTAGAACGATTTCAGCTGCACAAACCTAATGCGAGAGCAACGCAAGAAAAAAAAAAACTTAGAAATCAATTGAATAAGTGAAGTTTACCTAAAAGACAACAAAACCATCGCATGCAAGTTAATTGTGGGAGACTAATGGAGACTTACAGGTGACAATTGTCTACGGAGGACTTCGCCGATATCTCTACTCCGGCGAAAGCAAAAGAAGAGCGCGAGGCGCGAGTTCTAGACGAGAGAGAGATGTTTTATCAATTATTTGGGCCTTGAAATTGATAACGTTGGGCCTTACATCATACCTGGCCCATTATGAGAAGATATAAGCCCATACAAAATGCTTTTGAATCTGCTAAAGTCAACTGAAAGTTTCAGAATTTTGCCCATAAAAGAAGAAGAATATGTTTCAGTATTGGATCTACATTAGCTCAACATTAATCTCATGACCAACAACAATGTAACTGAACTAGGATCTAAGAACAATTTGGTATAATTGTGTTCCTAACTTTCTATATTAGGCGGGGAGAAAGAAGTTTGAAGAAACTTTTAGTCTTGATCAGAACAGGATTTTGCTTCAGTTTGAGAATACGTAGGCTCAGCCTCAGGTCTCACTCTTCTTGATCAATCTGGTCAAAAGACTCCCACCAAGAAACAGGACCCAAGCCATCATCATCTATATTCCCCTGCACATTTCACAAGATTAGATTACTGGACCGAAAAGGGGCAAACCAAAACTTTATTGTTATTATGCAAATACAAGTGGAATAGCTTTACGAACAAACTTACAGTGATCACCATAGGAGCAAAAGGCTTTGAGCCTTCGGTTCGCTCAATTGGAACTGTTGGATAGCTGATGCTCTCAACTCGAAACTTGATCTGCCATATATAAAACATCAGATCATAAAAGACGAAACTTTCAAAAATTCAGGCTTAAAGAAACAAAATGAGGAACCAAAAGTTAACCTGACAAGAGTCGTCGATAATATAGTCTTCTTTCGGTTCCCCAAATTCCCAAACCCATCTCATTTGATTCCTGCAAATAGAAAGAAGAAAAAAACATTGTACTTTGTGTTGCAGTGAAATATACAGATCTGTAGGTACTAAGCTCATACTCATATTCCATAAACTGCAGGACACATTATTCATACCTATTGTAAGGGTCAGGCTCACAGCGGTTAGGTGTAGGTATAAGTGGAGCAGGCACATAAATATCCTCAAAGAATCCAAGTGTTACTGCCAGTTATAGATGAATCATAAGTGTGTAAAATAGCCATAAGTATCAAAAGTATAAGCTAACTTATAAGTCACCAATATCCACAGTAGACTCTTAAAGAAAATTTCAGTCCAATGTAGTACTCACAGCGCAAGCCATTGGCATCAGATTCTTTGAACTTTGCAGCTATGACCTCAGTAACAAATGGACGAAACACTACCATTCTAAATCTCACCTACAAATCACAAAGAAAAGGAAAGAAAAAAGCATAAAACGTCCGAAAAATCATCTGATAAAAGAAGAGAGAGTGTGAGAAAACGATCCTTGATTTGAATCTAACCTTGTAAGTCGCAGCACCATCTCCAGGTAAAACGAAACCTCCTTCTACTGATCTAATGTCGTATATAGATACGCAAAGTCCCAAATCTGCCAAAACCTTTAATACACACAAATCCAATCTGATGAAATCAGCGAGTGTGTATAATAAACAGGCAATGGAAAAACATAACAGAAAAACACAAACAAACCTTGTCCAAGAACAGATTTTGAAGCACCGACTTAATGGCATCTTCGAGGGGGTGGTTAAGGAGATGCGGAGGCACTCTTAGTGTATGCTCGAGCTCGCTAAGAGTGAACATTTCTGCAATTATGTCCAAAGTTGAATTCAAAACGCCTGTTGGTAATTTTCTATGTTCTGTGATCCATTCACACGGTCTATTGAGTTATTTGGATTGCAAGCATCTTTCGATGCCATTACAAATGAAACTAAAACAAGGAATCGGATTCTACAAAAAAAAAAAAATCATTTCAACTGTAATCGCTAAGGCAACATATAGCATCTCTAGAGACAGAGAAAGATGTCATTATAAGCAGGAATTAGCAAGCAACAACAAAGAAGGCAGGAGAAGAGAAGAAGAGACGCACAGTATCGTGTCCTTTGAATCGGCCGGTGTTCTTATAGGCAAAGACGACACCTTCAAAGGATTTAACCGTACTGCTCGAATTGCCAACGAAGGGTTTCACTGTGAAACACAGAAAAAATAAAAAAAGTCGAAGACAGAGATTTAAAAAATCGAAGAAGACGATGAGCAACCTTCAATCTCTACGAAAGACACTGGCTGCAACAGTCTGTAAGAGAAGAAAGAATCTCTCGGCGCAAGTCGGCTGGTTTTATGCGGAAGAAAAAATGACCCAAATTTTATGATGGTGGGCCTTATGGCCCAAATATTGATATAAGAATATGTCTTTCTGGTGCTCTCTCTCCAATTAGAGATGCTCGTAAAGTCTTAAAAAAACATATGAGAGATTAATTACTTACAAAAAAAAAAATCATGACTATATTCCAAGTAAAAATATGACTTTTTAAGATTGTAGTAAGTGGAGCGAACGACACATAGATCTATGTGTGAAAGAGTTGAAGTTTTTGAAGAATTTATTCAAAGAAAAATCATTTGTGGGAAGTGTCAAACCGTCTTCATCTCATTCTAAGTCTAACCAAAGACATAGTTTTTGATGTTGTCGAGTTACGCCATTTAGAAATTATTACATTGGAATTAAATTTTAAAAATGTGCTTATAATATATAAAGGGGCAAGTTTTTGTAAAAATTAGAGGTATGAACTTCAACATGCATCCAATGAGCCTGTTATTAGTAAAGTTAGTTCTTGTGTTTGTTTGATCCAAAGGGATTGTTATATCGAATGATACAAAACTTTGGGAAAAGTTATTTACAAATAACAATAACAATAAGTGTGCCTTTATAAAACGTGCAGATTTTGGTCATTAGATGTTGGGAAAATGCTCATTTAATTCCTCAAGTATTTGCAATCAATTAATTTATTCCTCAACTATTGTATGTGCAAATTTATTCCAAAAGTGTCAACGTTAAAAAATAAACTGAAATCATTAAATTTAAATTCACAAAATCTTTGAAATCATATTTTCCTTCGATTTTGACCATATACAAAATATATTCTCTTCTTCTCGGCTTAAACGCAAAAAATCAACTTCACCAGTAATCGTCGCTGCTCTCAAGCATTATTTGCGGCTTTGCGCCTTCAATCAACAACATGTGACTCCTCTCTTCAAGCGATGGACACAATAACAGAGGAGAGAACTGCATATGTCGACGGACAAAACTCCTTTTAAAACGATGAGGAAGAATTTGATTCTCTCTTAAGTTGAAATTTCTAGATATCTTCTCGAGTAACTTCGAATGTGAATAATAAAATGTTGGAATTGATCTCCAGCTGCTACAGTATGAGCTTAAAGCTTCTGGATTTGTCGATAAAGTGCCGCCAAATGTTTGGGAACATCGTGACTTGAAACGACACGGTGGAGGCCGAATCGTCGGAGACTCTTAGCTCAGGTACTATAGATTGGAGATTTGGAGGAAGGGAATGGTTCGTTTCTGGGTAATGGGGAGAACGACATCATTTGGGGAGTAGATGATGTTTGGTTTGGGAGCAAGTGGGTCCTTGGGTTTGCTGGAGAATGGGAGATAGTGTGAGAGAAGGATGAAGAGAGAGAGGATTGAGATTGGGGACGATGACTGAATCGAAGAATCAGTAGAATATGGAAAAAAAATTGGGAAAAAAAGATGATTTGTTTACTTTGGGTCAAAACCGAGAAAAAAATGATAAAAAGAATTTTGGTAAATTTAATTTAACGATTTTTGTTTTCTGTTTAGCATTGAAATTTTTGGAGCCTAATTTTGCAAAGTTAATTTATAGTTGAGGAATAAATTTGCACACACAATAGTTGAGGAATAAATCAATTGATTGCAAATACTTAAGGAATTAAACGAGTATTTTCCCTTAGAATGTGGCAAGCACTAAAGCAACTTCGGAAAAAATATTGAAAAATCATGCAAATGATGTATATGCTATAGCTATCCACTATGCTATAGCTCATGGCAAACATTCATATGAAAATATTGCTGATATCGTGGCGAACATTAGATCGAGTCAAGAAATTTTCAAAGCTAATGATGAAATTTGCAGTCATAATGTTGGAACAGTTTTATCATCCTTTTTTTAGTTGTGCATGTGTTTTTGAGCTTAATGCATTTTCGTGTAATGTAGTTGTGAGTGTGTTTTCATACAGAACCAAGTTTTCGTGAGCTTAATGCACAGGACTGAGATAACATTTTCATAGTGCACATCAATCAAGTCGTGAGCGTAAGAAATTAGATAAAATCTTTGTGAGATACTAATTATTTTTAATGTTTTGGGAGCTTTTAATTAGTCTATAGATAATATTTAGTTAAAAAGTATAGTGTTAGATATTTTTGTTGGTATTGATGAAAAACATATATAACTAAACTTTCTGCTGATAAAATATTGAAAAGAATCTTAACTACGTCAATGAAGCCATGATTTGAAATGGGAAGTATATTGAAAGGTACAGTCCAATTATTATAATTATTTAGAAAATCCATTGATATTTTTTAAGTAATTAACTTGGTTAAACTAAAATAAATCTAACTTTGAATTGGTCAGCATTTGACCCTTTCACTTAACACACCACCATATTATGTACTCTGAAACTATATATACTTCCTTAACGAAGACCAAAGACTTTTCTCACATTTGAATTTTTTTTCTCTCTCTTTATATAATTGTTGATCGCTTGGTCAAAATTTCAAACACATTCTTCACTCTTCATCCTCTTCATCAATTACAAAGCCATATTCCAAAAGAACACTCTTCATCCTCTTCATCTAATCATAACCTCCCCAAAACATTCTCATCATCATAAATACCAAAAATCTCACCTTTTCACCCTTTCAGTATCAAATTGTGAAGCGACCGACCAAACCAAGCGAAAAAAGGCCTAACCAGATTTGAAATTTACGATGGAAATGTTAAATCAGAAACAGAAGAATTTGCTAACCGAGCTGTTTCATGGACTAAAGGCGGCAAAGCAGCTTCAAGCTCAGCTCGGAGCAGTTCCTTCGGCGCCACCTTCGTTGTCGTCTTCTTCTTCTTCATGTCTCACAACGGAGATGAAGGAGACTCTCTTACATGAGATTGTTTCTTCCTACGAGAAAGCTATTTTGATGGTTAATGGATCCATACAAGACAATCCAACGACGGAGCCGGTGGAGCTTGCGGCAAATTTAGTAGCTACTTCCGGTAAAGTACTAGAATCTCCGACGTCTATTTCCGGAAGTCCGAGAAGCCAAGAGTTTCTTGATGGGGAATCGAAAGATTACTACTTAAGTTATAAAAAGAGGTAAAAAAATTTGAACTTGATACGGGATTTAGCTTTTAATTAGAATGTAATAAAGTAAAATTTACCTTTTCTTTTGTTTTTGAATTATGGATCTGAAAGTTAATAAAATATTGCAGGAAGATGTTGCCAAAGTGGACAGAGCAAGTTAGAATTAGCCCAGAGAGAGGCTTAGAAGGACCTCATGATGATGTCTTTAGTTGGAGAAAATATGGCCGAAAAGACATTTTGGGCGCTAAATATCCAAGGTAAATCATTATCATCATCATTAATCATCACCATGTTAAGGGGCTGTCATTTTTTGTTATAAAAAGATTGGGTAATATCATAGTCTAATAGCAGATACGGATCAGATACAAGTAATTTATGTACCTAAAATGACTACTATCTAAATAAAAAAGTCATATAAATTGAATATTGGATAGATTTGCGATATTTTGGCAATGATACATGTAATTCGGTAATTTAAAATCACTATTCGAATACTTAACAGATCGGATTAAAATCATGTATTGTGTTTAAGAGGAAACTAATCGACTAATTTGTTGTGTTTTGTTCGTGTGCAGGAGTTATTACAGATGCACATTTCGCAACACACAGAATTGTTGGGCGACCAAACAAGTCCAAAGATCGGACGGTGATCCGACGATCTTCGAAGTGACGTACAAAGGAACACACACTTGCTCACAGAGGATCCCGCCTCCGGAGAAGCGAGAAAATAAGCCCAACCCCACAGTCAAAAATTACCATAATGATCTTCTCGACAATCTCAGAACCAATCTTACTGTCCGTACCAACGGGATCGAAGGCGACGGCTTCTCATTCCCCGTTACGCCGCCGTTTTACTCTTACGACTCCATCAACGGAGATCCCGGCAACGGCGGTGGAACGTTTTCCCACGTGGGAAATTCTGGACCGTCGGATTTTACGGGATTGATCTCCACAAATACCTCCACAGGAAGCTCTCCCGTTTTCGATGTGGATTTTCAGTTCGATCCAACGGCCGAGATTAACACATGTTTCCACACGTTTTTCCACGATTCGATTTAAGTAAGTTGGTGATTTGAAGCTCGATTCTTAGTGAGTATCAAGTTTGATTTAACTAAAGAATAACTCCGGCAACCGATATCAAAAGAAAGTGAAGATTTTGATTCTTTCTCACAGAAGGATGAGAGAAGAAAACAACCCTCATGTTTCAAATCCTAAAAATTAGAAAAAGTAGTCATTTTTGCATAGGAGAGAGAGTGTTCAATATGAGCAAACTTGAACATTCTCATTTTCTTCTTTCTACTGCTGGAGTTAGTTTTCTCTACTAAGCAGTCTTGGTCTTATTGTACTCTTCCACTTCTTTCTTGTACGCTTCCATTAACTCGGCAGCTTTTCCATTGTAAACTTGCTTCTCTTCTTCACCCAGTTCCTGTAAAACAAGTTTCCCCAGAACAATAAAATCAGTTTTCACAACTAATAATGAATAAAAATCATTGTACTCATTAATATTTTCTATTTGATGACCTGTGTTTATACCTTCCACTTCAATGAAATGTGGGCGGTAAGAGTTGAGTTGTTGATCCCAGGATGCTCTTCTGACAAACTCTTTCTTGCGTCTTTGCTGTATACATTTGCAAACACCAGTTAGAACAGATTTGAGATTGGAGTAGATTATTTGTGGTTTCAGGGTTTTATAGTACCAGAAGAGTAAGTATGACGAAGCAGGCTTCTTTGGTTTGTTAGGATCAACATTCTCGTTCTTCTTCTTGTTCTTCGTCGTCTCTTTCTTCTTCTGCAAAATAACACATGCATTATATGTTAGTGACTGAGTTTTAGCCACAAAAAAATGTTTTCTTACTAATATACTGGGTAAGTTAGAAACCTTTATGATGTTGTCGGTTTTCTCCTTCTTCTTGAGAAGTTGGAGTGCTTCTTGTTTATGGAGTTTCATGAGTTCCTCTTCTTCTTTCTTCTGGCACATGGCTTCCTCCTCCTTTGTCCTTTTATACCCTTCCATTGCTTCCAGGTATATCTCCTTGTTCTTCTTTGCCATCTGTACGAAAAGTTCCAGAACATGCACACATTAGTTATATTTTAAAAAGTTGTCACTTTTTGAAACAATGGCTACGATGAAGTGGAGCATTGATATGGAACAAGACCTTATCGTAGGGAGCCTTCTGTTCCTCAGTCAAGTTCTTCCACTCTTCTCCAGTCATCTTCGCAACCTATACTCACCATTCATCCACAAAACTTAGCTTCAAGAGTTTCAAATGACATTAAAGAAAAGACAATTCCGAATTCTTTACTTACCTCCACGATGCTCTTGTTATCTTCACGTAAAGCAGCCCTCCTCTCATTTGCATAGATCAGGTAAGCAGAGATGGGCTGTTTAGGCTTCAAGGGATCCTTTATCTTCCTACAAAACGAAATGCAGTAAGTTTTCTTGCCTACTATTACTATCAAATCAATTTATGCATGAAGCAAGTGGAATGTAGTCAGGTTCTTACTTGGCCTTCTTCTTGTTGTCCTGTTCAGCTTCCTGAACAAAGTGGAGATATTGATCAAGCAGTTCCATTGCAGTCTTCTGCTTTTGCTCATCTTCCAGAAGCTTCATGGCTTCCCTCTCGCGCTTCTCCTTTGTAATCACCTGGAGATAAGCTTCCTTATCAGCCTGGTACTTCTCCTCGTACGGCTTCTTCTCTTCTGCACTCAGGGTCTTCCACTTAGCACCTAGAATGTTCGAGGTCTCCTTGAAATCAGAATCTGGGTTTTGCTTCTTGATTTCGTTCCAATTCTCCTTGCACCACAAGATGTATGGTGTCGATGGTCTCTTTGTTTCAGGGCAGTCCTTCTTCTTCTTCTTTCCCTTCTGCTCTTCTTCAGTTTGTGCCAAAGATTGACCGAAAGCAAAACTCTGAGGAACAACATTAATTTTCCCAAATCAATCACCAAATACGCAGAGAAATGTAACAAATCAAATCAACTATTTCTCAGCATCTCAACCTGTATCTAACTTTCTTGCCACCAAATAAACAATTCAACATCTCAAACACAAGCATAGAAATCAAACCAATCATGATGCAGGTTGATAAAACAATAAAACTGTAAAGGAGAAAACAGAAAACAGATCATGAACAATTTGTACAAATCTAAGATCTGCGTCAATACTACTATCAAGCAATATTTACCAAGCGAGTCATCCATCAACTACATAATCAATCTGATTAATTACAATTGCTGAATCCATCACAAAAATCATCTAGAACCCATTCCAATATGTTCAGAACCTAAATTGATAAAAAAAAAAAGGAGCCAGAACTAGATCTAGAAATTATACCATATGAGGCTTGAATTCCTTCATCTTTTGCAGTTTTTTCAGCTCCGCCTTAAGTTTCTCCTGCTCAACATCCCTCGTCTCGAGTTCCTCTTCCTTCTTCCTCAGGATCTCGTCCTTCTCCTTCAGCAGATCCTCCGTTTTCTCCTTCTCTATCTTCATCTTCTCCAACATCGCCTGCATCTCCATCAGATCTTTCTCGAACGACTTCGCTTCTTTCCCCTTGGCTGAGACTGATGACAATGACGGTGACTCGACGATCTCATTCTTCTGCTTCAACGCTTTTCTGCTGTTTCTCGATTTCTTCGTCGGAGCAGGATCTGCGACTGTCGCCATGTGATAAATTGAGCAAGAGAGTAGCGAAGATTAGAGAGAAATGGAGGCTTCGAAATTTAGGGTTTGAGATTTGGTAGAGCGTCTGGAGCTATCATGTGCATTATATAGGAAGAAGAAGCAACGGTCAAAATTTCAAAATTCAAAATGAATACTTTTGTGGATTTAATAGTCACTTGGCGTCCGAGGGTGACGCAGTATATATACTCAGCACGATTTTCGATATTCGACTTTCTTAACTTTTCTGAATTTTGACTGTTCGAATTTCCCAATAACTAAACCAACATACCAAAACCGGTTTAGAACACAATATTATCTGAAGATCACTACTTTAATACACTCACAATCTCAACGAGTTTGCACATAATAGTAAACCATGCTTTACAAAATTTGATACATAAGAATAGCTTTCGTGAACCTAAATGATTTTCAGTTCTTCTAATGAACTCTTTAACTCCTGTGCCAAAACCTCTTCAACTTTACCAATTTACCAATTTACTAAGATACAATCAAACCGGTTATTTCCCTGTTCAACCATTCACTATGACCTCCAATATAACATCGTTCAAGTAATCAATCGGACCAGGCAAGCACCAATGCAGACAATCGTTCTGTACCTTGGCGTTCTTGTCCTTATCAAACGGCCTAAACTCTCGGTACGCACCGGGATGCCCATCGGGTCGAGTTAGCAACATTCCAGCAAAATCCAGAAGCTTTAATTTCAAGCTCTCTTGACCCACCTCCTCTACCACCCTCTCGTACTGACTAATCTCAACATCTCTCAAGATCTTGTTCAGAACTTTCAACTCGACTTCCTCCTCGCTAACCGGTTCTGTTTTCTTACAGGTCCCTCCGTTATGCCATTCCCCATTTTCAAAGTGATCAGGTATCGAAGTGCGGAAAAAGATCATGCCTTTAGTGTTAGATCTCACGATGAAGTCCATAACATGGCGCAAGGATGTGTTATAGGCATAGTCAAATCCTAAATCCGTCATGTTAGAACTCTCCGGGCAGCCATGGCAGCCAACGATAGTAGCATTCTCGTGGTAGACTGCGGTTTTCAAGAACCATTCCCCGGAGGAGATGATCGCATAGTCAAGGCTTGGAAACAGATCAGTCCATGTCTTGTCGAGTTTATCGAGGTGAAGCTGGACTGCAGCTGATGAGACACCGTTTGAGTCTTCAAATATGTCGGCTTGAACGAGAAACGGTGACCAAATGTTGGATATTGTCAGATTGTGCAAAGGAAAAAGCCAACGCTTTGATCTGTAGTTCTCATCGTGGTACACTTCAACAGGTTTTTCAACCTGAAAACATGGAAAAAGAAAACACTTTAAGACATTTACAAATCTTGTTTTTCTTCAAAGTCTGCAAAAATAGATAGCAAGCAACCGATAAAAACCTTACTGTAGATAGCATGCAAAGCAAAGACTCGACATGATTACGTGAAATGGAGTCACCGATTAAAGCCCAAGATTTATTCCTCATGAGTAGCAGAAATCTCTGAGGATCGAAACGAGGCAAGGAGCAGTCGTTAGGCTTCCATTTCCAGTAGAGAAAACCGGAGTCAGGCCGACCATTGTTGATGCAGTTCTGGTGACCATCTATGACAATACCACATGAACCATTTGTGTAGATTGGTCCTAAAGGGTCTTTGATCCATTTCCCAGTGAAGAGATCACACTTCTCCACCTCAATATCTGATACCAAACAAACAAAATCAGAGATCAGATTCTTCTTATCATTACCTAAAGGTTTCACTAAGAACACAGCTACTCTGAAACACTATCAACAAAAACCCAGATAAGAATCATCACATATTATAAATTCTGGATTAATATAGCTGCAGAAACAATCATAAACAATAGATTCAAACAAACGAATCAAAACCATGACATTATTGAGGAGGCTTGAACTAAATGATCAGATTATCACAGGATTTTGAATCCGGATAATATGACAAATTCACAGACGGTCAAATTGGATCATCAAATGATAATTGGCATGAACCAGACATCATATATTACACTGTAACTTTCATAAAAACAATTTCAAGTTTCTTCCAAATGTTGCAGACTTGTAAAATTCTCTTTAAATCCCTAGATCTCAGAATTAATGGCTAATTCCCAGCGAAAATCTGGTTTTTGCTAACAAGAAAATCTTACCCACGGGAATTAGATCCTCGTTATCAGATAAGATAACCGAAGGCGGCGAAATCTGGGCATCGGAGTTTCCGTTCACCGACACTTGAACTGGAGAAATTTGGCCGAAGCGAAAGACGAAGAAACGTAAAGCTAGACCGGTTATAAGAACAGCAGAGACGAGCTTGATGAGTAACACATTTTGGTGAAGCATGGAGATTGATTCCCATTTCAGCTTCATCTTCTTCCTCTCGTTGGAATGGAATGCGAAGTAAGTAGAATTAGAAATATGTTTTTTTTTTTAATTATTCTCTTTGGCAAGTGTAATGTGTAATCCGTGCTTTATCGACCAACCAATAAATAATGAAATTCGAAAAGATTAATGAGGAATGGGGTTGTTGCAATTATTACTAGTTAAAGCTGGTTTAATAAGGATTATTAGTTTATTACTGATATATGAAGTAGACATATACAGGTACTATTAAGATCCTTAAACAAATTACTCTATTGCCATTCGTAAATCAGGTTTTAAAATTACTGATAGAGTAGAAACTCTATAATTTAATACTCGATAAATTAATAAACACAATAAATTAATAATTTTTCATGGTTCCGAGTTGGATCAGTTCAAAATATGATATAATTCGATAAGATAATAAGATAATAATTTTAACAAAACTCCTATGTAAATATGTGGTTCCACTAATATTATAAATTAATAATTACCATAAACAGAATCTAATATAAACATATAAATGAGATAATCTATTAAAATCTGAGTTTAGTGATGTTTTAATTTTATTTTAAATGAAAATCTTCTTAGAACTTATTTTTAGTTTTAGAAAGATTTTGTTAAAGATTATAATGTTTAAAAAAAATATTTTTAAAAATTAATAGAAAATAAATAATATTTTTTCTTTGAAATCTATAAATTAATAACTCTATAAATTAATAAACTATCAAAGTCCCAACATTATTAATTTATAGAGTTTTTACTGTACTTTCTAAAGTAAATGTACCGTATGACCTTGTTACTATTCATAATTAGATAAATGGGAAAAACAATTATTCAAGAACTGTGCATTTTTTAATAATACAATCTTACCCCTATTTAGTTATTCCTCTAACTTTCTCTCAGATATCTCGTTCCCTCCATCACTACAATTCGAAGCCTACAACGACGAACACTCTCTCTCTCACCTATTTCTTTCTTTCCCTCACTACAATTTGAAGCATAGACAGCGATGAAAACTATAATTTAATGTTGTCTTTTTTGCTCAAATGTTTCAATACGTACCTGTTCAGATTTTGTTCTCTGTGCTCTAATGGTAGTAATGATTGATTTTTTTTTTAAGTTCCGCAAACCGGATCGAATCTTGCTCTAGATCTATCAAGATTCATCACAAATCATGACAATGTTTCCAGAGGACGACTCGACACAAATCTGCGAGGTGTGGAACGAGAATCTTGAATCAGAGATGGCACTGATTCGAGAAGTCGTCGACGATTTCCCTTTCGTCGCCATGGATACTGATTCTAGGCAGATGTTTTAGTGCAATATATAAGTTGTTAACATGTTAAATTTATTTGTATCGCGTTAAACAAATTAATATTATACTTTAAAGTAACCTAGATAGCTGCAAATGTATTTGCTGTAAAACGTAGATAGCTGCCAATGTCTTACCTCTAACTAAGTTTCAATGTTTTGAAAATAAATAACATGTTAGCGAATACAAATATTATGTTAGAGATGATAAATAAATTGTTAGCGGATAAAAATAGTATATTAGAAACATTAAATAAATTATTAGCGAATACAAATTTAGTGTTAGCAAGATAACATATCTTTTATTAATGTAAAATTAGTATTAGCAAGATAACATAACATTTATCATATTAATAAAATATATAGTATGATAATAAGTTATGTAGTTGTATAATTTATATGTTAACAGAAAAAAATGATGAAAGAGAAACTCCATACGGAAAGAAAGACTCCTAACAAAAGAATGAGGGGTTAAAAAGTAATAACACTTTCAAAGTGTCCGACAACTATCTTATCAATTTACTGTTTTTCCCATTTACTTAATTTTGACCAGAATGTAGAATTTCTAGCAAATTGTTCTTTGATTCTATAAGTTTTTTTTTTTTTTTTTGGTCGAACATGTTAAGATTCATACCATTTTCAAGATTTTACATAGTTGTGAGGGATCACTTATTACAAGAAGAGAAAGAGAAAAAGATTAGGAAGAAGATTAAGGATACATCCGTTAGCTTATGGAACCAAGATGCTGGAAATATAACTCAAGAAGGGAGGGAGACGTCGTAGAAATCGGCGGGAAGGAGAGGAGACGATCCCGAAGCATTCTATCCACCGAAGCACGAACAACTGGGACAGGGGAGCTGGAGTCTTTGAAAATGCGAGAGTTGCGCTCTCTCCAAATAGCGTAGATAACGACTTGAAGCAGAAGCTTAAACACAGACTTCAGTCCCACTGAAGAGAAGTGATTCCTGGAGGAGATGAATGCAACTACAGCACGAAGCGAGAGAGGAACAGGAGCGCATACTCTGTTTACAAAACGAGTCCATAGGTCCGAGGAGAAAGAGCAGGCGAAGAACAGATGGTCATGCGATTCAGGCCCTGCTCTACATAAGACACATTGGTCGGAAACAGTCATTCCCCAATTCAAGAGTCTGTCTTTGGTGGGGAGCCGAGATAACATGGACAACCAGGTAATAAAGGTACAGCGGGGAATAGCTTCCTTAAACCACACCGACTTATGCCAAGCGACAGTGGGAGCGGTCACCCGCAAAGCATTCCAAGTAGCCTTAGAAGAGAAATCCTGCACAAAAGTACCTGAAGCACTTCGCCATAGATAGCGATCGCTACCGCGAGCAGCGCTGGGAGGAGAGGTAGATGTTAGAATGACCTGCAAATCGTGCGCCTGATCGGATCTGGCTGCAGGCAAACGCCATTCGCCATGCCTAGTGGCGTGAACGACCTTATCTTGAAGCCGCAAGCGAAGTTGTCGAGGCCCTCTTTCTCCGAAGAACCTACTCAATGGTCCAAGCTCCGTCCAATAATCAAACCAAAAGGAAGCATTCTCCCCATTTCCAATATCACACCGCATGAAGTCTACCAACCGGTGCTTTAGTTGGAGCATACTCCGAACCGTAGGAGAGAATCTGATGGCGTCTTCGGTTTGCCAAAAACACCGCCGATGGAAAATATGAGCCCGAAGCCATGCCACCCAGAGAGAACCCGATTTCGAGAAGAAGTTCCAAATGAGCTTCAAACGGAAAACCGTCTGAAACTCCTCCAACAAACGAATACCAAGGCCACCCTCAGCCTTCGGTTTGCAAACGTTTTTCCAGGCAACTCTTGCTCCATTCGCCGAGCAAGTCTTGTTCTTCCAAAGGAAAGCAGCACATAGAGAGTCGATTTTTACATAAAAACTCTTAGGAAGAGAGAAGACTGAACTCCAGAAGTTAACCATACCGTAGATAACGGAGGCAACGAGCCTCACTTTACCGGCAAAAGACAGCCTCACTTAACCATTCTATAAGTTCTATACTACTAAAGAATAAAGATGAATAGATGATTGAAAATTCGGTGAATTGACCGTGAGAAATAGACTAAGTTCTGTAATCTTAAATGATGTTTTGGGAATTTTATTTTGATTTTAATTTCATGTAAACTCTCTTACCAAATAAACGCGAAAACATGATTACCAAAAATGGGTATAATTCATTAATTTGTCTCTGGGGAAATCGCTCTACTTGTCAAACTTTGTTTGTTGACCAAAGACACACAAAAAAATCCCTAATTGCTATTACTATATGTTTGATCAGCCTCTAATGATGGACGCACGAAGGTTTGAATTAAGTTAAATTTTAACACTATCCCTAACAACAAAATAACTTTAGTTAAATTAATCTTTGCCCTTTCGCGTTCCCGCTTTCATTTCTCTTCTATTAGGGCTTTTTGCTTCTTCTTGTCTCTAGGATTTTCCCTTTCCTGTGTCGTACTAAACCCTCGATTAACGAAGAAATAAGAGAATCTGGGTAAGAATTTCTCTGGAATATTTCCTCCTTTCTTTCTCTGTGTTTACATTTCCGTTAAGATTGTTAAGAAAAGCTCTCTATCGTTGCACATTCTTAGCTTCTTGTGTTTTGAATCTTGACTGATAACGAAACTTTCTGGGTACGATTTTCTGTGGAAAATTCCTTTCTCCTTTAACTCTCAGTTTACATTTTTTGGTTGAGATTGTGGAGAAAATGCTGGAAATCCTTTTATGGAAGAGGGAATTTTATGAAATGCTTGAAATTTTTCCTGAGAAATGCTTTGATTTTTGTTTCCTTTTATAAAGCTCTGAGAAAAAATCTGGATTTAGGGCTTTTCTTTTAGAATCGAGAATCTCTAAAAATTCCGAAAAGGGAATGATTAAGCTCTTAAAGAAAACAGCTTGAGTTTGTTTGTGTTGTTGTTGTTGTTCCAGGTTAAGGTCTCAAAAGTCATGACCGACAAATCTGAGAAGAAGAACAAAAACTTGTTGGTGGCTACTGTCAAGGATGAATTCGCTTCGCCGGAGAGAAACAGTATGTTTGGTCAAGCGGTAATAACGACAACAGAGTATGAAATCCTGAAGGAGAATAATGAGATTCTGATAAAAGACTACGAAAGTCTTCAGGATAGGGTTAAGCTTGCAGAGGAGAGCTATGAGATCATGAAGAAGTATCTTCATAGCAAACCTGAGGAACCCGAGGCGACGAATAAGCGCTTGTTGGAGGATTGTGAGAGAGTGAGAAGCGAGAAGGAGAAGTATAAGAAGATGTTTGAGGAGATGAAGAAGATGGAGAGTGAGAGAAAGGGCACGATTGATGAGCTGAAGACAAGGAATCAAGAGCTTCTGTTGGCGAGAAGGAAATTGAGAGAAGATGTGGAGGAAATGGGGAGCAAGTTTGTTGAATTAGCAAAGAGATTTGGCGTTGTTGAGACAGAATGTTCGTTCTTGAAATCTGTCTATGATGCTGAGGTTGCAGCTTCTGGTACTGCAACTCCTGTCATGTCAGGGATTGGAGACACTGAGAATCTCATTGGTCATGATGGGAACGAGAATGTGAACAACAATGTCACAGGTATATAAAATATTTTAATGTTATTGTATGTGCCAAAGTGTTTTGATTAGATCTTTGCAGACATTTTCTTTGAATCTAATCTTTTTTTGTGCAGACTCGATGATGATAAGTGATGAAAGCGATGACGAGCACGAGAATCCTCCAAGAGAGAGTAACAACATTAGCACTCAACTGTCTGTTGATAGAAGCCAAGAAGAACAATGCAAGAAGAGAGCAAATGTGAACCAAGCTTTGGGAGCTGTTAATCATCCACTGACTTTCCCTTCTTCATCATCTTCATCATCTTCATCTTCATCTTCAGATGGCTATGAAGTTCAAGTTAAATATCCTGCTAATTGGCCCGATTGGGCAATCCCCAAACCGAAAGGTCCCGGGAATGATTCCAACAAGTCTTAGAACATTTCAGAAATCAGAGAACATAGAGCCAGAAGAAGTGAATTTGAAGTTGCAGACTCTTGAGTTAAGCTAGCTAGTTACAGCCTTACAGGCATATGTAAATTTCTTATCAGTCTCTTTTTCGTTCTATCCAGGAGTTAGTATAATCCCTCTTTTGAGGAACTAGGAGTTGGTATAAACCCTCTTTTGAGGAACTAGTATCTATCAATTATCATATCACTTCCATATCAAATTTATCATTCGCAAGTAATAGCTAATACTTTGTGTCTTAAGACGCCATCTTCGTGTTTATATATGGAAGAGTATTTTCTACGGAATACATGATAATCATTGTAAACTCAAAGATCATACAAATACTAGTAAGTAGTAACAAGATTTGTTATCCAGGGAAATGCTGGTGTTGAGGTTATAGAAATATGTTATTTTACAAAAAGTGGAAACAAGAATCAATTAGATTCCTTTTTTACATAAATGTGGCATAAATATTGTTGGGTGAAATTAATTTATTATCCGGTCAATGTGATCATGTCACTGCTAAGTAAAAAAGATTGACGAACGGTCAATGTGATCATGTCGCTGCTAAGAAAGAAGAAGTGACAAACGGTCACTATGATCATGTTATTGGCAAGAGGAAAGGAGTGACGAATGGTCATTGTGATCGTGTCGCTGATAGGAGAGTACAAATGACGAATGGTCATTGTGATCATGTACCTGAAAAGAATGGGAGTGACAAACGGTCACTAGAGAGAGAGTCTCAACATCGACTATTCGTCTTTGTCAATCGGTTTAACATCGACCAGTGGTTTATTATAAGTTGTTGGTTCATATTCTTGAATAAACCACCTAGAAAAGTTGGAGCGACCGACATATAAAACCTAATTCAATAAGAATTAGGATTGACATAACCCTATAAATAGAGAAGTCTTAGAGCAAGGACGGACACAAACACATACTGCAGAAAACCCTAAAAACTCTATTCCCGAAACAGAGAACCGAACGACCAGATCTCTTTATACCTTCGCTCTCGCCAATCCACGATGACTACCGAGCGACGGACGATAGCAACTTACTTTGATTTTCGATATTGATTGCTTGTAACTCAATATTCGTTGATTAATAAAGATCTATCTCTTCTCGTCATTCCGTAGGACTATTCACACACGAACCGGTTAAAATTTGCCCAAACAGTTTGGCGCTAGAAGGAGGGGAAGTCGAAACTACGTGAGATATGACAAAAGGAGATAATGACGGAAACACCACCCCCGACATTCATGCTACTCAACTGGAGGCACTCACCGCCCAGATGAGGCATTATGAAGAGCGATTTGCACAACTGGAAGCAGAAAACGCTTCCTTGAAGGAGGTGAACGCTTCTTTGGTTGATGATGGAAACACTGCAGCCGACGCTCGTGCCAGATTCCGAGCTTGCGTTCCCCCTATGTTGCCCTTGGACGATCCTCTCACGGCTACAATGGGGACCGCTGCAGATGATTTCACAAAGCGTTTGGAAGCTATGGAGCTCTTAATCGCCCGAATTCCCGGTGTGGCTCCTCCAATCGCGAAAAGCGCTCCTAACTCCTATGCAGAACTCCATTTACGGATGCGATCGCATTGACAGAGATGCCAAAGAAGTTCACACTTCCTTCGATGAAGATGTATGATGGAACAACAGATCTGGATAATCACATAGCACAATATAAGCAACGAATGTTTACCACAGTAGTTGCAAAAGAACTTCGCGAAGCTACCATGTGCAAGGGGTTTGGTTCAAGTCTTACTGGACCAGCTCTCCAGAGGTTTACAAACCTACCTAACGCTTCAATTGACTCTTTTGCATCACTGACAGATCGCTTTGTTGAGCAATTTGCAAGCAGTAGAAACTTGGAAAGGACCGCTGATGATCTTTACGAGGTCATTAAGAAGAGAGGAGAGTCCTTGCGTAGTTATGTGGGACGATTCAACAAAGAGAAAGTGTCTATACCAGAATGTGTCACCTCCACTGCAATTTCAGCATTTGAAAGAGGTTTGCTCCAGAGCGGTGATCTATATAAAGAACTGACAAAATATCAATGCAAAACAATGGAAGATACGCTGTCAAGAGCATGGGCACAGATTAGATGGGAGGAAGATCCTGCCTACGCTCAGCAACAATCTCAACGCTCCGAATCGCGTGTAACAAGAAACGAGAGAACGACTACAAATGATAAGCCATATCAAAGACCTCACAATGACATCGACAGCAGGAGAAACGACAGTGGAGGTACACATCGACCAATCAATGCAGTGTCTTTGTCCACTTGGCCAGACATTGAGCAACTCGACGAGGTTCAACTAATAGAAAGCGATCCTAATAAGTGGTTCAAGGCTGCCAACAGACGTACAATATAGGTTATTTGGAAGGTCCGAGGCGCGTACAAACTGCAGGATAAAGAATGCAAAAAATCTATTCAACAGCTGTGCGCCCTACATCTCAACTTACTACTTCAAGGTTGGTTCGTTTTGCTTCAGTTATATTTTTTATACCTTTGACTTTTCATCGTTAGTTGCTTTTTGCCATTTTTGATGATCGCCGAGACCGCACTACCTTTAGATTTGAATATTCTATTTCCTATCTACGGATAGACACTTCAAGAAAAAAACTTTAAACAAACGAGTTTTAGAAGTCCTAGAATTTATGTTCGTCATTCACGATGGCACATAAAAGAGAGTGATCGACGATTTAATTTACGACGAGTGACAGACAATACTCAGATCGACTGGAAGGCACTGCCTTGAACAGATTGACGATTGTCACCCACTTAACTATTTAAAAGTGTCATTGTACGCATACGAACTGACCAAGGTCATGAAAAGAAAGGTGTATTCTTCGAAAAAACATTGATAACAACCCATAGAGGGTGCAAGAGGCGATTCCTCACCAACAAAGATGAATGACATTATCATAATCACCAACAAGCAAAAGAGGAGTGACATTGTCAACCTTGAAAGAGGCGATTCCTCACATAAACAAAGATAGAGTGACATTGTCACCTTCGAAACAAACGTGATTTCTCACAAAAAGAGAGTGACATTGTCACCTTCGAAAGAGGCGATTCCTTACAAAAAAAAACATAAGAAAGTGACGCTGTCACTCTATTACAATTTAGAGGCATGACCTCATTAAACTAGAAGTGACTACTGTCATTAAAGATTAAAGGAGTTCCAAAACCTCCTCAAAAATCAAAAGAACAACTAAGAGGGAAAAACCTTGTGACAAGCAGCAACTACAGCTGAAATTGCTGATACGACTGCAGTAAATGTCATAGCTAACCTAAGGGAATAGCATTAAAAAGTAACGTACTTGCTACTGTTACTAATTTGAAGAGCGATCTACATCACCGAACGAGAGACGTGATCCCACAATTAAGCAAACTGCAAATTGCAATATGTGCAACATATGGCTATACACCTGCCGTGGTAGTGAAAAGAATGGTTACAAACCGCCAAGATAATGTCATTATCCAAAACGTAAAACAAAGATGTCAACAAACGTTGCATCATCGACGAATGACAAGTTTTTAGGATTGACACATCCTATCAGATAAACAAAAATAAACGCCATGAAGATAAAGTTCAAGGAAAGGACTTAAATAAGAAATTAAGGTGATTCCTCAAAATATACGGCCCAATACGACCACGGGTCAGTGTCGGGGGCAAAAGCGCCATCGCTAAAACCTGTGAACGAGTCAGGAAATACCAGAATAGTCTTCCCTTCGCTTTCGGCTGATTTAACAGCGACATGACATGAGAAATGACATGAGGTATGTCCAAAAGAGGAGAAGAAGGAACAACAAATAAAAAAAGGAGCGAAAACTCCCAATAAAAGAAAAAGAGAGGGAAGCGACGAGCAAAGTCAAAAAGAAAAAAGTGGCATAAGTAAAAGAAATAAAGAAAGATAGACCAGAAGAGACTTTAAAGACGGTAGGTCACTGCAAAAGCGCAAGGCACTACCAAAATGCAGGTCGTCACTCCTTAAAACCTCCCAATGACGAGTTCTCACCGATGAGCTCACACCGACAAGCTATCAAAAGTGAGATCTCACATGACGACCTCTCATGTCAACCTTATAGCAATGAAATTACAAATGATGACCTCCCACAAAGATTTTCTAGATCGATCATACGTATGATGTTGTGCTGTCGTGTGTTGAGAGGGTGTGTCAAGTTTTACCCTAAATGAAATCAATAGCCGCAAGTGCACAGCTGATCGATTGTAGTACTTAGGGATCGAATCCACAGGGAAGGAGGATATTTTCCTGCAAAAAGCCTTTGAAATAAGTATAAAGTAAGGAAGTCTAGAACCAAAACGGTTTTGTGGGGGTTTGGTAGTGTGTTTAAAATGTAAAAACGAAATATTAAAAGAGAATACGGGAATTAAATGACGTAATAACTAAACTTAACGAAAATGAGTAAAAATGCGAAAAACAGATATTCTAATTGCTTAAATGAAAATGAACTAAAAAGGAAAGACAATATTGAACTAAAGCTTGAAGAAAATCGGTGTAAATCAATGGAAAAGAAAGCGTTGGGGTTCAGGGAAGTTTTCTCAGGGGTACGAACGATTCAAAACATTGCTAGAGAGTAAATTGATAAGATCTTAGCTTAAACTTTTCGAACTGGAGTCACGGACGTATGAATACGCCACTGCCGTGATCATAGACAACTATCTCTCTCAACCCTGACTAGTAGGTTTCCACTCTGGCCCTGGAAGAGAAGAGATGCATTATGTTTAAGACTCGTCCTCATTCACAAATCGCCCATAGGTAGGTTTCCACTCCTATGTTTGTTTTGCTCTCCCAAACTAGATCTGATACCTGATGAACACTTTCGTGTCACCAAGCATCTGGATCAGATTGTAGTTCATGACGCTACTCTCATGCAGTAAAAACGAATTTAGAAGAAAAAGTTCTAAGATTCGGCTCAAAAGCTCATGGAATCTTCATCGAACATATAAATCCCCATCGAAAATCCCTTAATCCCAACAATAGAACTACTCAGACATAATAAACGAAATCAAAAACATAGTATTAAGAAGTAGA